CCATCGGGCCAGAGTATTCCCACATCGGTCGCGTTCTTACCGCCAATAGGGCGACCCGACGGTGGAAGAAGGTACAGAAGACCAGCAACCCATCAAGGACATGCTGCACAAGCCTCTAAATCTCTATCTCAATAACCTCCAACTTGTTTTGCCGACTGGCGGGACCCCACGACCAGCTTTCCCTCCTCTCTGGCCTTTTTCTAGTGAACGTCAGGATTGGCGCTTCCGCTGGGTTCTAGATATAGAACCACTCACTGTGCCACCCCCGGTTGGAGTCACAGGGGAAGTACGCAGGATAGGGGACCAACGGCTTTGGCTTCTTCTGCAAGGCGAATCCCCCAACCAACGTGATTGTGGGCGGCTTCCCCTCAAATACGGCTCGCTCGCTGAAGATCCGCTGGAAGAGGTCCACGTGTGGCTCCATCCCGAGGAAGGCCTCATAGATGGTGATGAAGCCGGCGATGTGAAGTACCCCAGTCGGGTTGAGGTGCTGCAACTCTAGGCCCCACTCGTTGAAGAGCCCGCGCAAGAACCAGTGCGCGGGATACCCGAGCCCGCACTCGTGGAAGGCGAGGAACAAGATGACCTCGTCGGCCTGGGGTTGCGGAACAACTTCCCCCGGCACAGGAGCCCTCCAATGTGCCACCTCCTTTGATTGGAGTAGCCTCTTCTCGGTGAAGGCGGCCAGCACCTCCTCATCCACGTTGGAAGGCCTCTAGTTCAACATTGCGCCTCAGATTTACAAACGAATTTGTGAGTTCTCCTCTCCCTCGCTCTACCCTCCTCTCTCCAAGAAACCGCAGCGGCACATGAACATACTTGGCGAAAGGGAGGAAGGAGGAATGGTAGCGGTTGAAGGAAGGCGAAAGAACGAGAGGAAAATCCTCTCCCTTCCCCCTATTTAATGCAAAAAAGCATGCGGCGGGACGTGGCCCTGGCTGATGGGACGTGCCCTGCCCGATGAAACGTCGCCCGGTTAGTGGGACGTGGCCTGGGCAGGGCCCACCACTACCGCAACCCGGGCGCGGGAAATCAGGCGCAACTACACGCAAACGATCCTCCACCTTCCTAGGCAGGATTTGAAAGGGCCCACCAACGAAATCTCCATCGAGGAGAGGCCAATGGGAAACCCGAGTCGATCGAACGGCTACCGAGTGACAGGTAAGGAGCAGCGGGATGCCTCATGCGGGTTATGCTGACCCCATCACGAATGACGGACACGGATCCCATTCGGACATATTCGATAGGAGCTCCCTAGACCCGTCACTCGAGCCACTGAGGTAACCTTATCAAACCCCCTTTTCTTGTTTTCTAGTGCATAATCAATCATCCATTCTCATGCATGCATTCATATATTTATCCCATACATCCAAGCATTGCATATGCAGTTGTTGCATCACAACGCTTCGTGTTGCGTCATGAAGCAGTAGTCGCCTCATTTGATATGAGCGATGATCGACCGAGGTTCGAAGGCCAACCCGCAAAGGGCTCGAGGCCACCTCGTGTCAAACAGAGTCAGGGGAGAAAACGTAGGTGAGCCCCAGCGGCCCTCGCCCGATCCGCTTAGAAGCGGATAGGGTCATCTCGACCTTCTCGTTCGATCCTGACCTCGAGCCATGCCCACAGAATCTCTATCGAGAGGAGGCCAGCAGGCCACCTGAGTCGGTTTCTGGAATGGCTCGGGCATCTGCCGGGAGGCTGGTTAAGGTATAGTGGAATGCCACATGAGGGCTATGCCGACCCCGTTACGAACGACGGACCCGGATTCCACTCGGACATACTCGTTATTAAGCTCACCGAGCACATCACTCGAGCCATCGAGGCAAGCGACGTTAGCTCAACCCCTCCGGTTGCGGAAACCACGGACAGGGTAACGCATGAAACTAGACCGACCCCTCGGCCACGCCCGACACTTGGGTTGGCGCCTGACACTTGGGTTGGCGCTCCGTTTCGCCCGACCCCTCGGCCACGCCTGACATTTAGGTTGGCGCTCCGCCTCGCCCAACCCCTCTTCCATGCCCGACACTTGGGTTGACGCTTCGTCTCGCCCGATCCCTCGGCTGCGGCCGACACTTGGGTTAGCGCTCTATCTCAACCGACCCCTCGGCCGCACCCCACACTTGGGTTGGCGCCCGATCTCGCTCGACCCTTCGGCCGCACCAAACACTTGGGTGGGCGCTCCGCCTCGCCCGACCCCTCGGCTGCGCCCGACACTTGGGTTGGCGCTCTGTCTCGCCCGACCCTTCGGCCACGCCCGACACTTGGGTTGGCGCTCCACCTCGCCCGACCCCTTGGCCGTGCCCGACACTTGGGTTGGCGCTCCGCCTCGCCCGACCCATCGGCCACGCCCGACACTTAGGTTCGGCTGCGCCCGACACTTGGGATGGCGCTCCGTCTCGCCCGACCCCTTGGTCGCGCCCGACACTTGGGTTGGCGCTCCGCCTCGCTCGATCCCTCGGCCGCGCCCGACACTTGGGTTGGCGCCCTGCCTCACTCGACCCCTCGATGGCGCCAGACACTTGGGTTGGCGCCCGACACTTGGGTTGGCGCTCCGTCTCGACCGACCCCTCGGCCGCGCCTGACACTTGGGGTTGACGCTCCGTCTCGCCCGACCCCTCGGCCGCACCCGACACTTGGGATGGTGCTCCGTCTCGCCCGACCCCTCGGCTGCGCCTGACACTTGGGTTGGCGCTCTGTCTCGTCCGACGACGACCCACGATCTTACACCCACCGGGTGCGCTCGTGAAACAAGTGTAAACAACCCCTTCACGACTTCACAGAAGTCCCAAAAGGGCTCGGGGGGCTCCTGTCGGGTTCATAAACCCGAGGTCCTCAATGGGCCCGCTTCCTAGCAAAAACTCGGGCCAGCAGACGACGTAGCAACAACGCGCACTGCCCGAGCCGGCCCAGATACCTAATGACCGGCCGGGAGAATGATCCGGTCCCCGACCGGAAGGCCTGGCCAAGGTGGGGACATAGTCCGACTTCGACCTCCTTTTCTGACCGGGAATACGCCGGAGCTCTGCTTGCAACTCTTCTCCGATCGACACGGTCGGGACCGACTGGGAACGACCGACCGGGGAGCCCCGCTCGATAAGAGCCCGGGGATCAGGCGGAGCAGATAAGGTAAGGTGCTCAAGTCAAACTGCAATACCGAAGATCGTACCCTGCCATACCCTGCGCACCTGCAAGACGATGCCACCAGTCCATGCCAGATAGGCACTATGCAACCTTCCAGGCGTGTCAAAACCCAAACAGTATTATAGGCGCCAATATTTTCCATACCAGACGAACACGGTAGAGCCTACCACACACATCTAGACATAAACAGTATTGTGGACGCCGACGACCATCTCGTACCTGACAGCGTGGGCAACAAGACTAGATAACAAACGTATACATTCTCTCTCTTTCTCTGACTTGTAAGAGTCCATCCCCTTCGACTATAAAAAGGGATGAGCTCTCTCCTGAAAAGGGATCTGGCTTTTCTGACTCTGGCTCTCTAAAAAAAGAAGTTAGACGATTCGAGCACTTAAGGACCCGAGAACTTGAATAGCTCAATAGCTCTAGAACCCTGAAGCTACATAGAGCACACGCTCCAATACTTAACGCACGTTAGAGCCCCCGTCACTCTCGGCCCCTCGGTTCAAAGTCCGATCGCTTTTAACACCCCTTCTTATTCCTACTCGTTTGTAACCTCATAGTAAACTTCGAGCACCTAGGCTCAAAAATAAAGTTATCGACCGACTGAAACTGGACGTATGGCACGTTGCCTAAACCAGTATAAATCCTGTGTTATTGAGTGCTCGGCCACATCTGATCACACCGTACAATAAAACTACAAATATTTACTTATTAGTCATTTTTCGCACCGACACCTGGCATGATAAAGTAGGACCTGCGTGCTGCTTAAAGCAAGATAGGGCTAACAATATCTTGATCAGCTACGGATCTTGACATGCCAACCGTCTCCTGCCAGCTAGCTTCTGTGCTATTGTGCACATCAACAGGATCCTACAAATTTACTGCGATTCAGCGCACATCGCAATAGCTTGGTTACACTGTTCTCCTTCGGCTAATGACACATGCCCTGTTACCATCATTCAGAATGCTGCGTCTGCAGGCTACAGGTACAAGTGCAGATATACGATACTGTAGATGCTCTGAGGGTTGAGGTCGGGGAGAAACCATTGACAGACCACTGCAGGAGTATCACATGAGCACTAAACAATCGGGATAAGCAGTCCATGCCAGACAGAACTTTACTGACAGAGCAGACTTTCTGGTGAGATGAATTGAACCAACAAAGAATCATGTTCTCGTTCAGCCTTACTTTTTTAGCTAGAAAATAATATTTTTCTCTCATAACAAATCAGCTTTATAAATCAGCCTCAGTAATTCTACTTCTTTAATCATAAGATAATATTTTTCTCTTATAACAAATCAGACCTATAAATCAGCCACAGCGATAAGTCCTGCCAAACGTGACCGGATCATCCTTGATTGGCTCGACTGTAGCAACTAGCAAGTAATCGATGTAATTTCAATATCTCCACAACGGAGTGGTAAAAGAGTAATAAGCAGATCCACCAAGATCACAGTTCCTGCAAGAAGCATGGATTTACTTAAATGGTAATTACATGAGTGAACTCCATGTCACCATCACACATACTCTACCAATCGGGCCCGTTCCATTTCAGTGGAGGCAGCGAGCGGGATGCCTAGTACAAGCAGGTGAATTTTTTCTGATGGAGGGAGGTAAGGAAAGGGAGGCCATTCCAGGGAGATTCGATCGATCGATCCCAACAGCAAAAAGAGGAGGGAAGAAAGTGAAAGGAAATAGGAATTTTTGCCATTGGCATGAAGATGGAGGAACAAATAAGCTCCCTTTCTTGTGTCACATAACAGAGGGTGAGTATGTTTTCCTTTTTCCGTTTCTCTCTCTTCTCTCCTCTTTACTGCTGGGCCGGCGTTTCTTGGTTGACACAGACGGGGCGCCGTCACTGCGCCGCGACGGTGCGGGAGGAAGACGGGGCCGCGGCCGGCGGCGGCGCGGCGGAGGTGGTGGCCGGGGAGGGAGGGGACGCCGGGTGGCCGTGGCCGTGGCCATGGGAGCTGCTGCGGTGGAGGCGGCACTTGAAGGAGCCTGCGTGCGTGGCCGGCGCACAGACGCACTTGGGCGCGGCGCCATGGCCGTGGCTGTGGGCGGACGAGGCGGACGACCAGCTCCTCCGCATCGTCTTGGGCGACGACGCCGCGCCGGTCGGCGTCGTGCTGTGGTGGCCGTGGCCGTGGAACCGGCCCTCGTCCGCCACGGTGTCGACGTAGTTGGACGCCATCAGCCCCTACTGGTTCTCTGTTCACTTTCCTGTGCCTGGATGGATAGCCACCATTAGGATGACTGATTAAATTAGTTACTACAAGGATCGCTGAAGAAAGTGATTGTACGCAGAGTTTCCACCGGCGGACAAAATTATAGTAGTCAAGCCAAATACACAAGTTTTGATGATTTGAGCTACCACATGCACCGAAGAAGGAATCCAGTTAGTGATCCGTTTCAGGTTAGTGCTCTACCTAGTTCTTCCTATTAAACTCCACAAGCAGCAGCACATGCTTGAATAGAAAAATCTTAAAAAAGAGGAACAGATCCAGAACAGCAGTGTGTTTCTCTTCTCCTAGGTAGGAGTTAGAACTGTAGAAGTAAAGGGATAGGAGGAAGGCTTCCTAGGAGCTTACCAGACGAGAGTAAACCGGCAGCTGATAGGCAGGAAAGAAAACAGAGGACGCCGCCGAGGTGCCGAGAGCGGCAAACTGCGGCACCACGGCGAGCACTCCTCGGTTTTTATACAGGGGATGTGGCACTGCCCGCGGGCAGCATCGGGCGCTGCCCAGGATTCCTCTCCGACCCCGCCCACTGGCCTCCTGGACCCACACACAATCTACTACTAGCCCACTGGTTTTTGAAGCTAATCCCGCAGGCTAAGCAAGGCGCCAGCGGATTAGATGAAATGAAACTCGATGCGTGAAATGTGACGCCGCCGACGGCCGTGCCCTCAAGCCGGCGGGGGCGCGATTGTTACTGGCAAAGCGGTCATTTCGGCGGGTTTTGATTGGAAGAAAACAGGGGGCGGTTTCTTTGAGATGGCGGGAAACGATGGGCTGTGGGCTACGGAGCTTGGCGGTTTGCACAGCTGGCTCGCCGCCTCGCGTCGGGTTCGGAGGCGGGAAGCCGGGAACCGAACAAATCTCACGCGATCACGCGCAGACGGTTATAGAATGAATCTGCTGCTGCTGCTCTATCAAAATCTTCTTTTTATACTGTATACTCCTACGTTCGAGGAATGATGTAAATCTAGCTTTTCGACCAAACATTAGTGTAAGTGTAAAATTACGTATTTACCCTTTTTCTATTATTCTAAAAATAGTTGTGTTCTGGAACGTTCTTCTCATGGACGATAGATTTTAGTCATGTAGGGATATTTTTAATTGGTGGATCCTATTAAAAAGGTGATCTATAACTCTACAATTACATGTTTTTTAAACAATATTTGAATGTTAGAATTATATGGGTTTTTTTTGAGACGGAGGGAGTAGATAATATAATTCTGTTTCCCAATCTATGTGCAGCGAGCGGAGACCGGAGAGCGCGCCCACGGTAGCGGACGGCGCTCGCTTGTCCAGACTCGTTAACGCCCCCATGGCCACGGACTCCGTCCCCATCTCTTCACCTGCACGTCGTCGGCTTTCAATTTCGCAGCGCGGCGGTGTGATCGCCTTGGTGTCCCTAGCCACGTCACCAGATTCTTCTGCCCAGCAGCTCCAGGCCTCCAGTGGCAGTGAGGGCCACAGCGACAGCCGCAAGGCACGGTGAGCGCAGTCACCGCAGGCCGAATAGTAGCCGGCACGGCCACAGTTGGATCCCGGCCTCTTTCCTCTGGTTTTCTTCCCCACGGACGCCGGGTCGCCGGCGGATGGGGTAATAGCCGTTCAACGATACGTCCGGCCGGCCTTGGAAACCTTCAACTGCGCCGTGCGTGGGTGCCTCTGAGGATTCGATTCGATCCGGCGAGCGATTTGGTCCGCGCCGCGCCAACGTACATACTCCAGAGTTCCGCATCGAAATGCATGCAAGCTCGCTCACGGAGTCACGGGGACCCCGCGCGCGGGCGGGGCGTGTTGCACTGGGTGCAGCGGGCACTGCGAAAGGAGGCTGCGGTTTTCGGAACTCTCTCTTCTTCCTCCATTCGTGGTCGCAGATGCTCGACTAGTCGACTTGTCTCCGGATAGAGACGGACGATAAAATGCAGTGGAAATAGTAGTGGCCATACCTCAACAAAGGCACAAAGCCACAAGAAAATAGAGAATCTGCTGCTACCCTACTCCACAGCTGACTGTCAGATGACGAGGCATACGCATAGTCGCATACCACCACCACTAAAATTTCTGCATCCGAAAAGACAAAACACCATATACGCGCCATGCTGTGCCAGTGCGTGCAAGTCATTTTACGCAGCGCGTGCATGCTGCGCCACATCGGCAGCACGTCGGATCGTGATGATTCCTTTCTCTAGGTCATAGGAGTGTATCTCAGGACTGAAAGCAAAGTTACCAGCCACCCTTCCGACCACCGAGCAGTGTCCATTCGTTTTTCGGTGCTGTTCCCTTTGGTCCAAAGGCACCAGAGAACAAGGTGTCAACACCTTAAGACCACCACGGCCAAACCCTATCTCCTCCGCACCGGCCAGCCCTCCATTATTAGCTCCTCCGGCCCGCTTCATCATCCTCCACAGCTAGCTAGCGTCTCATCACAAAGTAAAAAAAAAACGAGGCCCGGTACATTATTCCGGTCAAACACAATCGTCCATGCTCACTTGCTCACCCATGCATGCATGTCGACATGATGCAGAGTGGGCATCTCTGGTCTGAATCTCGGCCGAATTGAGCTACTACGTACCGTCCCTCTCTTGCAAGCAACGCCATTGATTCCTCTTCTTCTCAGGTTAATAAAAGAAAAACGATTCAACTATCCCTTTCACTGATGTATCGTATCGTGACAACTGCCGCCACCTTCTGATATAGATATTCGCAGAGTCGTGTCGAATCTCTGCTGGTTAATTAGTTGTTCTGATGGCGATTTACAAGAGAGCACACCCTGATGTTTTTCTTTGTGTAATCATCTGTATCATCATCAGTTCACGCGTTTAGGCTACAAATATCAAGCTAGCACACCACCACCGCTCGTCGTCAGCTTCGCACAAGTCTCAACTCTCAAGGAGACGGACTAAAATACTGCACCGATGGAAGGAGTTTGAAAGGAGATGTGAACATCTGAGGGAATAATCTGACCAGTGCAGGGTTGCATATACTGATCTTGGTAGGGAATGAACGAAAGCAACAGGCCGTGACCATGGGATCGGATCCATCAAATCTCTTGCGCTGTTGTGGGGCACATCAGCATGCAAAAAGTCAGTAGCAAGAGCTTTGGAAGAGTATTTCTACGCGGGAATGCTAGATGCAGTAGCTTCCAAAGAATAATCTCGCAAAAAAAGCAAAAATGGAAAGGCAATTCATTTTGCAGTAACAAAAAAATTTGCTTATATTCTAAGTGAGTCTAGCATGTCCATTAGGTCACCCATAAACCATCGTCGATCAATAGGGTGGTATTATTGCGACCTCAATATCATTTCTAGGGTTATTAGGGAAGATAATTTTATAGATGACTTAGAGCATCTCCAGCAATGCTTCCTAAAACACACACCTATTTCTCTGTTTAGGTAGCTACCAATTTTCATACTACTCATATTTCGTGGTTTACTCCAGCAACACTACCTAAAATAGACCCACAAATCCATCCTTGTAGAGGATGACATGTGGGACCGATCTGTCATCCTCTTCCCTATCTCATGGCCCATGGACGAACTCGGCCATCCTCGTCGAGAGGGGAGGGGAGCTGCCGGGAAGCTCCGATCGGTGGCCGTGCCGGGGAGCCTCGCCGGGGAGGGGAGGGGCGGGCAGCCACGACGCAGGCTGGGAGGGAGGAGGGGCAGCCGTGCAGTAGCCGAGGCTGCACCGGGAGGTCACTTGTGGGAGGTCGTGCAGCCGGGTTGGGCCACCGCCCGGGAGCCGAGGTTGCGCTGGGAAGTCGCCTGGGAGCCGAGGTCATGTGGGGAGGTTGTGCGGGGCTAGGCCTGGCCACTGGGAGCCTCAAGTGGCCGGGAGGCGTGGCGTCATGGAGGAGCATGCGGCTCCGTGTCGGTCCTCATGCGTGCTCGAGCTGCAGAGAAGAAGGGGAAAATTTTGCACGGTGGAGTAGGGGCCAACATGAATAGAGGGTGAAGGGCGGAAAAGTAGGGGCCAACAAAAGTAGAGGTGTAGTAGGGGGTCATTGGAGCTGGTTTTTGACCCCACTACCAAATCCGTAGTAGGGGTCAAGTAGGGGCATTGTTGGAGATGCTCTTATACTCCATACCAAATACACATTGGGTCCCACCAGTCAAGGAGTAAGTATGTTCTTTTTTTTATTTTACTATTCGTCTTCCCTATCTCTCCTTCTCCACACCAATTCATTCTCCCTACTGGAAGGTCCTAGTTTGGTCTTAGTAATTGAGTGATAACTTAGGTGAACTAACATATGGTTGATGTGAGAGATACACAATGTTTAGTCCACACGTATACTAATGTGAGAAACACTTAAAGCTATGGTGGAGAGGTGGCTTGGTTATGTTACAAGTGCTCAACTAGTACTTTGGAGGAGCTCATTGCATATAAGACATGATATGGTGTCATGTGGCTATCTAGGTAGAGAAGATCAAGAGACATGGCTTGACTATGAAGGACCGAGTTGCTAGTGTGAAGAGCAAGTTAGAGGCTCACGCGACGGACAAGTTTCGGAGTCTCATCGACAATGACTCCACCAAGGAAGATCACCAAGTCCTCCACCAGACTGTCTAGGTGCTGACAAACACCAAGAGTAACAAGTCTTCAAGCCTCTAACTCAAGGAACCCAAGCAAGAACACTAGTAGCACTCAAGGCTAACCCTCAAATCTCACTTCTTGGCTTAGGTGGTTCTACAAATGCTTCATTATCCCCTCTATAGGTGTCGGCAATGAGCAGCTCCAAAATAAGCCAAGGGTTAATACAGAGGTTGAAGATGTTGCTAGCCGTTGGAAAAAGCTGACATACACGATCATCTCCAGATGATCCATTGGCCTCCAAATGTCACCCTAGGTCATACGCCCTTCAACGGCTAGTTGAAAATATACCAGAATATTCCCCACCAGTGGATCACATAGTCCCACTGGATCGTAGAAAGACTTGGCCAACTAGCCACTAAGCTCA